GCTCTACAATTGATATCTGGAGATGCAAGCAAGTCCCCTACAGTCCCCAGCTCTGGAAATTCAGTCCATTCTGAAAGCCCTGCCGTCTGAGGGGACTGTACATTATACCTTCTCCCTACTATAATTAGGTCATACTGATCCACAATAGACCGAAGTAATAAAGCTGTCTGAGGCCCATCTTTCACAGCCTCCTCCAAGTACATCACAAACCGCTCATCTACATCATCTTCTCTAAAATACTTCAACCCCTCTGTATCAAGATCCCAATCCGAGCCAACAGCTTCATTAGTCCTGGGAACAAGCCGGATCACAGTTAGGCTAATCGTCGAGTCCTTGGCCATTCTTTTGGAAAATGCTAATGCCTCCCTGTCATCTTTACCACCCAAGAAGATTATAGCCACAGAGAAGGATGACTGAGATGATACAGTGGAGGTGGATCGGCCTAAATGGCTGCGGTCTACAAGGATTCCAACAGAGCATGGGGCTCTATCTAGGACACTGCAATTTAGGGTCCTGATGTTGATGTCTTCTGACTCCACAGACCCGTCAGTGGACCATCTCCGGTGAAATGGGAGCACGATTAGGGACACAAGCTTGTCCAATGCAAGGTGGCATATGTCTTCATACATGTATTTTGGTGCAGAGATTGCTGTGAAGAGGCTTAGAGAAACAGCCCCTAGATTTTCCCTTACAAACTGATTGAAGTAAAGAAGGATATCGTCTGAGTATGAAACATTGGAGACAGATTTTTTGTGCAATTCGTGGGAGATGAAAATAGGGGAGGCCCTGCCAACTAATTCAATAAGGTGAAGAACATAAACACCAATGGGTTTCTCTTTAGATGGACATGCTGCATCAAGTAGATTGATGACTGCAGGCATATTAGCGGACCTATGAATGCAGGCAAGTATTTTGAGCTCAGCATTGGGTTTCAAATGCATCATATTTCTTTTCTGGTACCCTGCGTATTTCCTTGAAGGATCATAGAGGAAATTCACCGCGATCGGTACAAGAGTTGCAGTCACTAAAATGCTACTAATTGCCAAAACATAGCTTGGGTCATTGATGATCTGTGTTAAAAAAAAATAAAAAAAAATGTGTTAGAGACAGTGGTTAATAATGAAAGGGAAAAAACAAAACAAGTATGATTTTGCTCGGAGAGGAATCATAAATATTTTCTTACCACATTAGCTCGTCACATCGTACATATTTACAACAATTGTTGTGTTTAATTATTAATAGCCTTTCTGCATGCGTTTCCGCCGTTGTGAGAGGCTTTTTTTTTTAAAAAAAATTCAAATTTATTTTAGAATTAAAAAAGATAATGGGTAGTTTTGTTCCATAAAAATAGGATCAATTATCTGATTTTTCTTTTAATTTTAATTTTTTTAAATATGAAAAAGTGTGAATTTACCATATTATTCTCATTTAATTAATAATTTCAATTCTTAATATTTGTATTAATCAAAGGCATTTTCCAGTATTTTGAATGTTCTACCATTATCTACCTTTAACTTTATATATATATAGATATAGATACAACAATTGTCACATAATGTAGCTAATGTGTTTAATCATTAACTACTGTTTTGCTAAGTTCTAGAGAGACAACGTTGGATAGAGAAAAGAGGGAGGGGTACCTGATTGTCTCTGAAATCGGTATAGGCGGCAAGGTTGACAATGCCTTTGCAACTCAAAATGAGAGCAACTGTCAATGCATCACTGAAGGGCAGGTTGCAATACAACGGAGCAACAATGGAGGCTAAGAATTTGGTCACAAGAACGAGGACGATAAGGATTCCATTGACTTGCGTGAATGCGTCAGTTTTAACATAATTAAGCCACGAAAAGTCTACCCTCATGGAACATGTAGTCACAAATATTGGAAGAAGCACATCAGAGACGAACAAACCGAGGTTGGCTTCAATGGCTGATCCCAATGGTGGTCCTGCTGGGACAGCCAAACCAAGTATAAACGGACCAAAATGAAAACTTTGGCCATACATATGCGAAAGCACCCCAGATGAAAGCACAACGACGATGATGATATTGAGATAGGCTTTTTTGACAGGCCTGTTTTTAGGGGTCTGCCTGATCACCCAATACATTGCCGGTCTGAGTATGGACGCGACAACAATGATATAGCCAATGCTTGATCCTATGCCCAATATAGTAAATTTTGACGATTCCTGTTTTACCATTCTAGCTATCGTGCGCACAAATTGCAGGAACACACTACAAATGTCACTGACCAATGCTGCAGACATGCCTAATCTCCCTATCTCCGAATTCAAGATCTTGAGGTCCTCAAGAAGGCAAGCAACAACCGGAAACGGGGTCAAACAATGTGATGCAGTCACAAATGAAAGCTTGAATATTTCTTCTTCAGTTAGGTTAAAGTAAGAAGAGGTAAGCTGTGTTTGGACAAGAATACCGACCACCAAAGGCACCACTACGCAGGCAACACCCGTGCACAAGGCCTTTTGCCCTGTCCTCATTATCATTCCCAAATCCATTTTCACTCCAATCAGAAACATAAAGAGTCCATAGCCAAACTCAGTCAGCACACCAATTATTTCTTGGCTCTGTAGATTAAACAGGTATTGCTTCAACATTGGTAATTTCCCAAGGAATGTAGGACCGAGGATTAGGCCTGTCTGCTTAACAAAAATTCATCTCAAGCATTCAGTAACAATACAACTAAGAGTAGTAAGACTGCTCAAACCAAAGGACAAAAGAATAATAATGCATATATGTGTGTATATATATGTCAAAAGAGTAATGTTATATATTTACCAACTACATTGCTATCTTGTAGAAAAAAGCACGTACGATAATTTGGGTGGTGAATCTTGGAACTCCGAGATAGCGCAAAATGGAATAGAAGGCTTTCGTCATGAGAAAAATTAAGACCATCTGCATCTCCAGATTGGGAAGGGTATGTGGCATCCCAGCAGCTGTATTGTAGTTTAAAATGCCTTCCGAATGTACGTTAGCAGGGAAATCAAGACACTCAGTAATATTCTTGGGGGCTAATGTTAGGTTGCCCGTCGCCATGGTTTCGTGCCTGGCAGCCTCTTTTGATCCAAAAGGCAAAGGTGGGGATGTGAAGTCAATATGTAATGCCTTGAGAATATGTAGGCATATGTAACAGTGATGAGGTTTGTTTAACGTTCCAGCATATACGGAAAGCAAATTTGTTTAAATTCAAAGGGTTTGAACTAATGCGACAGAGAGTTGTATAGAAACACGGAAATCAAAGGCAACCACAGTCAGTTGTATCAGGTTGGCTCGCGAATCTGGTATTACTGGTAATGCATATGGAAACATCCTAACTTCTTTTTCCTCAACTTTCTTTATATCATCTCCTACAAAAAATACGAGGTCCATTGTAAAACCGTATGACTCATTTCATGTGAGAAATTAAGTCGAGGAAAAACTTAACTGGATGACTCATTTTAATTTGTTTCTCATTTATTTATTTATTTTAAATATCCAAATTTGTTGGTAGAGTTAGGTTGATATTGCCAATATCCATGGCATTTTCAAAACAAGAAAGGGGGAACAAATTTCGTCCAATTCTTTATGAAATATCAATTTCTATTTTAGTAACAATACTTCTTCAAAATTGAGAATCTTATGTAAAAATTTATAAATTCTAAAATTATTTCCCAAACTTATTCTTTATGCCGCGAAATTGTTAACAAAAGGGAATTAAAAAAAAATTCAAATTCATAATTAGAGAAATTGTCAACCACCATACCTGTTAAACAAGGACTTCACTCTTCGTTGAATCATCGAGAAAAAATTGGTAAAGCCAATAAGTGTTTATTGTTGGAGAGCTTACTTTCAGAGTTCATATGCGTGAAATTGTCTTAAATGTGTTTTATTTCTTAAATATATTCAACTAGGTTAATTGGCTTAGACTGTTAACTTGACTTTTATTTATTTATTTATTTATAAATATTATAAATATTTAACCATAAAATAGTTTTTATATAAACAATTTTTTTTTAAAAAATAAAAAACATAGTGTGTGTGTATATATATATATATATATAGAGAGAGAGAGAGAGATTATAAAAATTAGAGGCCCTCCTAATTTGGTGGGCCTAGGTGGCCACATTTGCTTGCTTATGCCGAAAACCTCCTTTTAAGTTGACTCTTTGAGCGTTGCTCTTTTAAAGCCAAAAAGATTTCCAATAATATGATTAATAGTACACACACACACACATATATATATATATATAACTCCAACTGACTATGAATGGTTGCAGTCACCACCGACTTTTCTACATAGCATAATTAAAAAGGTGATAAAGGCAAGAGGTAGTCTGAATCTTTTGAGGTAGTCTCAAATAGACTCATCTGGCTTCTTATGCAGGTTGAAGAAGTGGTCTGGGTGTTTTATGACCGTCTGGTAGGAGGTGTACTTCTTTTTGAAAACGAGGGTGAACTCCTTGAAACTGCTGATCGATGCGGACGGTAGAGTGTGGAACCAGTCCTGAGCTGTTTCATGCATTGTCATTTCAAATACCTTGCACATTAGGGCGTCGTTTGCCTTATACAGGATCATGGTGCTCTTAAAGTGCTTCCAATGTCCCTCGGGGTCAGAGTCCCCCTTGAACGGTGTAATGGATGGCGTCGTGAACCGCTTCGGAGGTGTAGCCTGCTTCACCTTGTCAGTAAAGATTGATGAGTTGACTCGATCAAATTCGTTGTGTATGGCTTCCTCTTAACATCTTCTATCCGCAAGGCTGGTGGTTCATATCAGTGTCTTCAATGCCTTGAGCGTCGTCGGCTAACTTCCTCCTCAGCTTCCAATGGTCAATCCCCTTGGTTGTTCTGCCAATTTGTGCCAGCAACTTTCTTCTCCAAAGAATATTCGTTTGAAGATTTCAGTTTTCCTCTTCGCTTCTCTTTCTCCTTGCAAAACAATGCGGAGTAAAAGACCACACTCGGGGGGTGTTGGCCAAAGGCTCTCCGATGCCTAAGTTAGGTCAAGTGTTTGTAGGAAAACAATAGCTAACAAAAGGTACGGAGATTTCTTTATGGTGAGAACCGGGTGGCCGAAGTCGTGTGTGGTGGCCGGAGCCTTGTATGACAGAAAGAAAGAGTGTGACAGCTGTTCTGCAATTCCAACAGCTGTTTGCAGTGGCTGTTCTGAAATTCCAGCAGCTGTTTGCAGCATTTGCAGGGCTCCAGGAGGTGGCTGCGAGGTGCTGGAACGTGCGAACAACAGCTAGAGGTGGCTGCAAGGTGCTCGGAGGCGGCTTCAAGGTGTTGGCAGCCATGGGAAGTTGCTTCAAAGTGATGGCTGCGGTTCCATGCAGTTGCAATGAGCTTTCCACCACGAAACCATGAGGTGGGCCCGTCATGGTGGTGTTACTCTTCATACATCTTGTATCAACCATGGTTGATTAAAACAAAGTGTGGAAAATGGATTTGGAGCACGCTGTGAGTATTATTTGTGCTCTAAATGAAAGCACTAATTTGTGGGAGCGATTTTTCGTCCCCAAAGAATATTCGTCTGAAGATCCCTTCTTCCTCTTCGCTTCTCTTTCTCTCTGCAAAACAATATGGAGTAAACGAACACAACCGGGGGGTGTTGGCCAAAGGCCCTCCGATGCCTAAATTAGGTCGAATGTTTGTAGGAAAAACAATTGCATACAGAGATTTCTCTCGGGGAGAATTGGGTGGTCGAAGTAGTGTGTGGTGGCCAGAACCTTGTGTGTGAGAGAGAAAGAGTGTAGCAGCTAGGGTTTGTGAGAGGGGATTTTTGCAGAGTTTCAGACAGAAGTTTAGACGTACCTCAACCCTTAGTGTAGCCATGTATTTATAGGAGCCTCGGAGGGTTTCAGAAGAATAATTCCACAGATGGAAATGAATTAATCTTCCCCAATTTGGAGAGATTGATTTAATTAGAGATTTGATTAAAATCAAATCCCCAATTAGGGTAAGAATCAAATAATTCCCAATTTGATTAGTTAGTTATTTGACCTAGGATTCATAGATATTTTGCTACCACATATCTGAGTATACATCAAAGTTTTCTGATAAGTGGAGTGGCGGTGCGACGATGGTAATGCCAGAATGGGGTGGATTTTGTTTCGTTGGTTTGTTTTTTCTTCTTAATTTTATTGGAATGGTAAAATTGGATTTTTAGACATGTCATGACTAGCAAGTCATTAGATTATTGCAATGACTAAGCAAAGGGCCCCATTATACTGATGGGCTCCACTTCTATTAGAAAAGTGGTGCACAAAGTGATATACAAATATGGTATGACTAGCATTACACGGATAAATGCATAGATTCTAAATGCAGAGACTTGAGACCATGTTGCAAAAGCACCTTATTAAACCAAGAAGGCGTCCAGTATTGCAATTCAAAATAATTCTCTGAAACCAACAAAGTGAGAATCTATCTTGTATTGAAATACAAAATTTTGTCTTACATTCTATGGAGCCTAAAGAAGTTTCAAGTCTTAAATTCTACGAATCTACAACTCTTTATTTCTAACGAAAGAGTGAGTGACGGTGGGGTAGACATAGAAGTTGAAACCAACCAGAGGCTCAATTTCACCCCCAAAACTCACCGAATCTACATTCTAACACCAATTTCTTCATGTTACAAACTACAATTAATAAATGTGTTGGTTTCTCACCGTCCTTGACAACATTAGTTAGTAGAAATCTTCAGCATCGTCATCACTCTTACTCATAAGTCACATACCCAAAATCCTCACTGGAATTCAAGCCATCACTTAATCGTCCAAATACATGCTCATGATGATGAGTATTGCACTTGAATATCCGTAAATATAACTTTGTACCCAGTGAGGCTAAAAGGCTGAGAACTCTTGCACTTGGACACTCAGGAGACTTTATTGTCTCATCATCCTTTGCTGCTGTACCACCAGAATAGAAGCTCTACAATTGAAATCTGGAGATGCAAGCAAATCCCCTATAGTCCCTAGCTCTGGAAATTCACTCCATTCTGAAAGCCCTACTGTCTGAGAGGACTGTACCTCATACCTTCTCCCTACTATAATAAGGTCATACTTATCCGCAACAGACCGAAGCAAAAAAGTTGTCTGAGGCCCATCTTTCACAGCTTCCTCCATGTACATCACATACCGCTCATCCACATCATTATATCTAAAACACTTCAACTCCTCTGCATCAAGTACACTATCCCAATCCGAGTCAACAGCTTCATTAGTCGTGGAAACAAGCCGGATCACAGTAAGGCTAATCGTTGAGTCCTTGGCCATTCTTTTGGCAAATGCTAATGCCTCCCTGTCATCTTTACCTCCCAAGAAGACTATAGCCACATAAAATGATGACTGAGGTGCTACAATGGAGGTGGACCGGCCTAAATAGCCGCGGTCTACAAGAATTCCAACAGAGCATGGGGCTCTATCTAGGACACTACAATTTAGGGTCCTGATGTTGTTGTCTTCTGACTCCACAGACCCGTCAATAGACCATGTCCGATGAAATGGGAGCACGACTAAGCATACAAGCTTGTCCAATGCAAGGGTGCATATGTCTTCATGCATGTATTTTGGTGCAGAGATTGTTGTGAAGAGGCTTAGAGAAACAGCCCCTAGATTTTCCCTTACAAACTGATTGAAGTAAAGAATGACATTGTCTGAGTATGAAACATTGGAGACAGTTTTTTTCTGCAATTCGTGGGAGATGAAAATAGGGGAGGCCCTGCCAACTAATTCAATAAGGTGAAGAACATAAACACCAATGGGGTGCTCTATAGATGGACCTGCTGCATCAAGTAGATTGATGACTGCAGGCATGTTAGTGGACCTATGAATGCAGGCAAGTATTCTGAGTTCAGCATTGGGTTTCAAATGCATCATATTCCTTCTCTGGTAGCCTGCGTACTTCCTTGAAGGGTCATATAGGAAATTCACCGCGATCGGTACAACAGTTGCAGTCACTAATACGCTAGTAATTGCCAAAACAAATGTTGGGTCATTGATGGTCTGTGTAAAAAAAAAATAGCATTATTTTCTTACCAAACCGAAGTATGATTTTGCTTGGAGAGGAATCATACATATTTTCTTACCACATGATATTATCACGGGTGGGATATTCCACGTGACACTTGTTACAACACTTGTTGTGTTTAATTATTAATAGATAAAACAATTGTCGCATAATGTAGCTAACGTGATCAGAAAATACATCCATCGATCATTAATTACTCAAATTTTACCAAGTTCTAGAGACAAAGGGGTTCCTTAACGTTGGATAGAGAAAAGAGGGGTACCTGATTGTCTCTGAAATTGGTATAGGCGGCAAGGTTGACAATGCCTTTGCAACTCAAAATGAGAGCAATTGCCAATGCATCACTGAAGGCCATGTTGCAATACAATGGACCAGCAAGGGAGGCTAAGAATTTGGCCACAAGAGCGACGAGGATGAGGATTCCATTGACTTGCGTGAATGCGTCAGTTTTAAAATATTTAAGGGACAAAAAGTCTGTCCTCATGGAACTTATAGTCACGAAGATGGGCAGAAGCACATCAGAGACGAACAAACCGAGATTGGCTTCAATGGCTGATCCCAATGGTGGTCCCGCTGGGACTGCCAAACCAAGTATAAACGGACCAAAATGAAAACCTTGGCCATACATATGCGAAAGCACCCCAGATGAAAGCACAACGATGATGATGATATTGAGATAGGCTTTCTTGACAGGCCTGTTTTCAGGGGTCTGCCTGATCACCCAATACATTGCCGGTCTGAGTATGGCCACAACAACGATGATATAGCCAATGCTGGATCCTATGCCCAACATAGACCTCCGTGCAGAACTCTCTTGTACCATTTTAGCTAATGTGCCCAGAAATAGCAGAAACGCACTAAACATGTCACTGACCAATGCTGCAGACATGCCTAATCTCCCAATCTCTGAATTCAAGATCTTGAGGTCCTCAAGAAGGCAAGCAACAACCGGAAACGGAGTCAAACAATGTGTTGCAGTCATAAATGGAAGCTTGAACATTTCGTCGGCGGTTAGTTTAAAGTAAGAAGAGGTGAGCTTGGTTTGGACAAGCATAGCGACCACCAAAGGAACGAGGACGCAGGCAATACCGCTGCACAGGGCCTTTTGCCCTGTCCTGTTTATCATTCCCAAATCCATTTTCACTCCAATGAGAAACATAAAGAATCCATAGCCAAACTCAGAAAGCACACCAAGTATTTCTTGGCTCTGTAGATTAAACAGGTATTGCTTCAATTCTGGTAGTTTCCCAAGGAATGTGGGGCCCAGGATTAGGCCTGTCTGCTTAACAAGAAATCATCTCAAGCATTCAGTATATTTATAGATATATTTTTTGTTATTCAATAGTTGTTGTTCATCATGAGATTTGAATTTAAAACATAAAGTTCAACGAAATGGAGACCGGGTGCCACTAGACGATTGGGTTAGTATATAAAATATATATATGTCAAAAGAGTAATGTTATATTTACCAACTACATTGCTATCTATTCATTGGACGTGTTACAAATAATTCTATAAAAATAAGAGAGATAGAAAGAAGCCATACGATAATTTGGGTGGTGAATCTTGAAACTCCGAGATAGCGCAAAACGGAATAGAAGGCTTTCGTCATGAAAAAAACTAAGACCATCTGCAGCTCCAGATTGGGAAGGGTATATGGTATCCCAGCAGCTGTTTTGTATTTGAAAAGGCCCGGCGAATGTATGTTAGGAGGGAACTCAATACACTCAGTAATATTCTCGTGGGGTAATGTTAGGTTGCCGGACGACATGGTTTCTTGCCTGGTAGCCTCTCCCTGGATCTCTCTCTTTTGATAAAAAAGGCAAAGGTAGGGATATGCAAGTTGGTTTTTCCCTTGCAATGTTAAACTCAATATGTATTGCCTTGAGAATATGTAGGGCATATGTAACAGTAATGCGGTTTCATTAACCTTCTGGTGGCTTTAGTTGGTTTTTTTTCCCCTAACAATATTCTCTCTAGATTTTTGATAAAATTATTTATGATAATTTGAAGTTGGGATGTAAAATCTCAAATTCCAAGGATTTTTTTTGGGATTTATGACCCCAAATTCCAAGATTTTTGTTTTTGTTTTTTTTTCACATAATACCGTTTTTTTCCCCGCATATTTGACATTTCCTTCCATAAATTCTGAATTTGGTGTAAATTTCAAGTTTATTTTCCACATTATCACACCTCTCTCTCAACCCTACTTCAAAGCGTCTCAGTATGAGGAGGGAGAGGAGGCCATTGCTCCTCCTCCTTCTCCTCTCTCTCTCTCTCTCTCTCTCTCTCTCCTCCCTTCCTCATTTACTACTTGGGGTTTTGGTTATGGGGAGGTTCATTGTACC